AAGGCGTTTAGGCGACTCCTGTCATGGGGAATCGCTGGGCTGGGTGGCCTGTGCTCTGCTTTGGCCCTGAAAGCTCTCACCTGCGCTCATCGACACAGGAAACTTGTGCTCTTTCTTTTCCTTCAGTGCCTTAGATTTAATGGGTGTTTTGTTCACTGGGAAGCGGTTCTTGCTCTGCTAAACCAGGGCAAGCTCTGCCTTGGCATCTGGTACCTCACCTCTTTCCCAAAATTGCTTGATGGAAAATATTTTGTCTTTCCTTGCATCAGCTGAGGCTCTGTGGGTTTAGAAATGGCAGCTGGGTAGCTGGTAACGAGCAGCGGTGATTCACTTCTCTTTTCATGTAGATCTCACCCATATGGTCCATATCATTGACACTGAGCATCCGTGGGACGTCTATTCCGTTAATTCTGGTCATGCTGAAGTCATCACTTGTTTGGAGTGGGATCAGTCAGGTGAGCTTAGATCACTTCTTGCTACCCCTCTGTCCCACTGTTCACATGCGTGTGTTTCCCAAAACAATGGGATACGATTCGTTGTGGAGCAGGAGTTTGTCCAGGGCTTCGCAGCCACGAGTTGGTTATCTCCATTCAAACTGCACCGTGGTGGGTTGATTTTTATTTTCTTTTTTGGCTGTGCCCCCTGGTTCTCACGAGGCGCTGTTGTTGTAGGCTCCAGGCTGCTCTCGGCAGACGCAGATGGTCACATCAAGTGCTGGAGCATGACCGATCACTTGGCCAACAGCTGGGAGAACACTGTGGGCAGTATGGTGGAAGGGGACCCAGTTGTGGCCTTATCCTGGCTGCACAATGGCGTGAAGCTGGCTCTGCACGTGGAAAAGGTTTGTCCCAGCTCTGCAGGGGATCGGGTCGAGTCGTTAGCAAAGGACTTGGGAAACCCTTGTCTTGTGTTTCTCTCTGCTCTGGGCTTCCGCCATGGCCTCGGGCGAGTTGAGTAGGGGAATTTTTCCAGTTAAAAAGAAAAGTCAGATTCCTCCTTCCTGCTAATGGGGGTTGGATGCCTTGTTTCTCTTGGCGCTTTAAACGTGTCTTAGTCTGGTGCTTCAGTTTCCTTGGCTGTAAAATGGAGATAAAAGTATTTCTTTGCCTACCAGCAATAATTCAGAAGAAATGCATTCAAAGTCCTGAGGTTTGATCCAGGGATTTGGGAGTGGGAACCATATGTGTATGGAGATAACCTGCTTGTTTAGAAACGTGTCTAATTCTGTCAGACTCAAAAAAAGCAAGTCTGCCAAGTAGAAGTTACCTACGTATGCTTTTTTTAAACGTTAATGCTTCCAGTGTCCCACAGAGAGAAGCCTTTCCCTCTGTTTAGTACTGGAGAACCTGAGGCACAGGGATGTGAAGGATTGTGCAGCCAGTTGGTGTCGGAGCCAGAGTTGGGCACAGAAAGGAAGAGGGGGTGTTGGTCTTCCAGGCTCAACCAGTGGGGCTAGAGCTCTGGGGTGCTCCGAGAGCTCAGCTGGTGGGCTGGGGTGCTCCTGCTGCCTGCGCAGCTGGAACTGCTCTGCCTTGGGGCAAAGGGGCCTCTCCGGGGTTGCATCTGGAGTTGGGTGTATGAGCTCGGTGCTCTTGTCCGGCTCTGTTCAGCTCTGCAGACCGTGCTGCAGTGGCTTAACGAGGAGAGCTCCGCAGTCATGAGAACGCTGCAGAGATTGGGTGCAAATGTCTTTGTGTTGTCGTTCTCTGTTCACAGTCTGGAGCATCGAACTTCGGTGAAAAGTTTTCCCGGGTCAAGTTCTCTCCGTCACTGACACTGTTTGGTGGGAAGCCCATGGAGGGCTGGATTGCCGTGACCATCAGCGGGCTGGTGACAGTCTCTCTCCTCAAGCCCAACGGGCAGGTGCTGACATCCACAGAGAGCCTGTGCCGCCTCCGCTGTCGCGTTGCCTTGGCAGACGTGGCCTTCACTGGTGGGGGGAACATCGTGGTGGCCACGTCAGATGGCAGCAGCACCTCCCCTGTCCAGTTCTACAAAGTCTGTGTCAGCGTGGTGAATGAGAAATGCAAAATAGACACCGAAATCCTGCCTTCCCTCTTCATGCGCTGCACCACGGACCCTGCCCGCAAAGACAAATACCCAGCAATCACTCACCTGAAATTCCTCGCTCGGGACATGTCAGAGCAGGTGAGCGTTGGCTGTTAAAGCAAGTAGGAGTTAAGTGAATAGCAAGGAAGTAGGTGTTTGCTCCACCTTTGGCTTTCCCACATGGCTCTGGAGGTGAAGGATCATGTCCTGCAATGCCCTTTGCATTTCTAGCTGCTGTTTCTGGAAGTGCCACTAGTTCAGCATCGCTGTCGAGCAGGCTGCGCTTAAGAGGTCTGGGGGTGTAGTGGCTGGGCCCTCTGGTTTTGCATCCCTGAAGGGCCCCCTCCTTCATTAGCCTGATTAGGCTTTGCTTTATGTATTTTCCGTATCTGGCATTAGCTGTAGGGGAGCTCCGCCGGGCTGTCCGGGAGGTTCTGGGAGGTGAAGTCTTTCATCTTTAGGTCTCAGCTTCAAAGCAGCCTCTCTCCAGAACACTTAGAGCTCTTGATCTGTGTGACTTATTTTAGTTTGCTAAGGGATTGATAATGTGATTCTGGAAAGTGAAGTGATTCAGTGACACCCAACCTTGCTTCTCTGTCCTCTGGTTAGGACAGAGTGCCTTGGTGGAGAACAAAGTGTCTCCTCTGGCTTCAAAGTCAGTTCAGTTCCTGCCCTTTTCTTCACGTTTAGTTTAGGATGTATGTGAGTGACATCAGCAGGTCACAGGCTTGCCAGAGATGAGATGGTCTGTGATGTGGCACAGACCACAATAACACGTGGCAGAGTTCTGCCTCTTTTTCCCTCTAGCTGGAACTAAGGACTTTGTTATGTGTTGCCGATGCGATCCTCTGTTTTTGGCTAATGGAGTATAAACTAATTGGGAGAAGGAGCCTCAAAACAGGGGGGAGAGGGAGGGGCAGAAAATACGAGGGGATGGTGTCTTTCTCTATTGTAAAGTTTGCATGTCGTTGCAGTACGGGTTTCTGTCTTGCAGGTGTTGCTTTGTGCTTCCAACCAAAACAGCAGCATCGTGGAGTGCTGGTCTCTGCGGAAAGAGGGGTTGCCAGTCAATAATATCTTTCAGCAAATCTCCCCTGTGGGTGAGTTTCTGCCCCGGATACTTTTAAAAAGAGGAGCAAGGTCTGAGTGAAAATGCCAGACAGGTTCTCAAATCCATTATCACATATATGGGATTATCCAGAATCCCGTATTTATTTTTCAGGTGATCTCAGTCACATGCTCTAGTCTGTCTGTTTGCATCTTAGGCAACAAATTGCTGGTTTCCAGGAAGTGGTTTGATTGTTACTTTCACTCAATAAAAGACATTTTCTGTGTTATGCAGTGCAACCACTCTTCCCACTGAGAACCGAGTGAGCTGAGCCTTCTAAAGGGAAAAGATCGTGCAGCAAAGCCTGTTTAATCAAGCTATCCAGTCTGCATGTTTTTTCCGCCTGATTTCAGATATAACAAAATCAAATTTATGCAGTTTGTTCCGGTGAAATATAAAGGATTATTGTACATAAGGATTTTTTTTTAATCACCACCAGCAGAGCCTCCCATCAAAAGAGACTTAGCAAAACAAGTCATTGTTCTGCAATTACTGAGATCAGAGAGGGAAAAAAAAAAAAGGGAGACGTACGAGGGAAATGTATGTGTCTGGTAGAATGAACAAACAGTCGGTGCTTGGTCTGTAATCCCACTTAGTTGGGGAGTGTGGGCAGAAATCAGGGAGGGGGGTGTATTTTCTGATCTCTTTGGGGAGAGATGTCTCATTTATTTACTTATTTGTCAAAGTTGGAGACAAGCAACCCATGATACTGAAATGGCGGATTCTTTCTGCCACCAACGACTTGGATCGGGTTTCAGCTGTGGCTCTGCCGAAGTTGCCAATCTCCCTGACCAATACTGATCTGAAGGTGGCGAATGACACCAAATTCTTCCCTGGATTGGGTAAGGAGGTTCTGTTGTCTTTCTCCTAAATATGTAGCTTTTGCCTGAAACTTCACCTCCTTCACCTTCTGCAGTAAGAATTCAGAACAAACCGTAGGGAATGTTGATAGGAAAACTTTCAAAGACATGTTATCTTCCTGCCATGCTGCTTCATTTCTGTGGGAAGAGGCGTATCTCTGTGAAACGCTGATGTGGCTTGAAGCTCCAAACGTGCCTGCGAGCCCGCAGCCTTCTGGGTGCTGTGTTGTTGCCACATGGGCTTTCAGTGGCGGTGAGGTCTGGGCTGTACCAGGAGGAGCTGCTTGCTCAGCCTGAGTTATCTTCTCTCCCCAGGCCTGGCTTTGGCTTTTCACGATGGCAGCGTCCACATTGTTCATCGCCTGTCCTTGCAAACGATGGCTGTCTTCTACGGCTCTTCCTCCCAGCGCCCAGTGGATGAGCAGGCCATCAAAAGGCAGCGAACTGCTGGTCCCCTGATTCACTTCAAAGCCATGCAGCTCTCCTGGACATCTCTGGCCTTGGCTGGCATCGATAGTCATGGGAAGGTACTGTGCTTTGTTACGGGGAGTGCGCGTGAGTTCCTCTCAATCCAGGCACTCACTCTGTCCCTCTAAGAGGCGATGGATCACTCAGAAGAATGCTGGGAATGTTACTTCCAGCTGCGTGATCCATGTAAACAAGAAGGGATGCATCCCGTTACTGCAGGGATGGTATCTTTGGGTCAGGAATGAGGTGCAGTGGGCCCCGTGTCGCATTATGGCTTTGCAGAATGTTTTCAATCCAGTTATTGATAGAGGTTTTCCTTTGCCTCCTCCCTTCAGCTGAGCATGCTTCGCATCTCCCCCTCCATGGGCCACGTGCTGGACATGAACATGTCCCTCCGTCATTTGCTGTTCCTCTTGGAGTATTGCATGGTGACAGGCTACGACTGGTGGGACATCCTTCTCCACGTCCAACCCAACATGGTCCAGAACCTGGTGGAAAAGCTGCACGAAGAGTACATGCGCCAGAACGCGGCCCTGCAGCAGGTCAGTGGGGGCAGAAGCTCCCTGCCTTGCTGCAAAGGAGGGGCGTGTGCAGGGGTCTCGGTGGCTGAGAGCAGGGAGTGATAACAGCCAGTGCTCAGGAGACAGATGGCTCTACCTGGCCATGTTGTCTGAACATTCTGCTCGAGCTGTACTTGAGGTGTGAAGATCCTCCATTTAAGCAGCGTTCATTTTCACCACCGTTAAGGGGTCTCTACCTGTTAGAAACGTCTGGTGAAATGGTAAAGTCTATTTTTGGCAGAGATTCTGGGAACAGTAGCACTGCTTGTACGCGCACAGAAGAGTATTCGCTATTCCTGTCATTCATGCGGCAGAAACGGAGAGTAGAGAATAAAGCAGCTTGCTTTAATGAGCTTATTCTAATTCTGCCCTTACTTCTGTATTGTTCGTGGTGTCTCTCTCGATCAGGTTCTCTCCACGCGCATTGTTGCCATGAAGGCGTCTCTCTGCAAGCTCTCCTCCAGCACGATAGCCCGTGTGTGCGACTACCACGCAAAGCTGTTCCTCATCGCCATTAGCTGCACCTTGAAATCGCTGCTACGCCCTCACTTCCTGAACACCCCAGACAAGAGTCCCGGGGACCGACTCACCGAGATTTGCTCCAAGATCACAGATATAGGTAGTGATTGCGCGTAACACCTGGCACTGCGTTCCGAGTGGTTTGTGTCAGATCGTTCCCCTTTTAGGTTCGATATAAAGTGTCATGGTCTCATCGTAACTCCTGGGTTTGAGGAGGAGCAGGGCGACCTCTTGGCACTGCAGGGACAGGGGGTGAAGTTTGGATCCAGCTGCCTGAGCTGGGAGATGTCTCACTTCTATTTCAGACATTGACAAGGTGATGATTAACCTGAAGACAGAAGAATTTGTCCTGGAGATGACCACGTTGCAGTCCCTGCAGCAGCTCATCCAGTGGGTGGGAGATTTTGTGCTCTATCTGCTGGCCAGCCTTCCTAACCAGGTGAGAGCCTGGAGAACAGCCAGAGAGGGGTGGAAATCTGTGCACAGTGTTGGGTAGCACCAACCCTGGTGTTCCTGTGGAAACAGACACGCAGAAAGAGCAGAAATACAATGTGGTCCTTTCTGTGCCCATCTGGCAGTTGGTGATGTAGTGATGGTGATGTAGTGACTGGCAGCTGCGATCAGAGAAGCAGGCTCAGGAGCTGCCTGGCTTGTTTAAACCTTTTACGAACCTCTGTATGCCTCTGACCTCTGCGGCATCCTCGGGCAGGGAGTGCTGCAGGCTGTGTGGTGCTTGAAAAGAGGAGTTGTCTGAAAACGGAGCAGTGGTTCCAGCAGGCTGCGTCTAAGTCCCAATCTCACTGTTTTTTCCCTCCGCAGGGTTCCCCCGTGCGGCCGGGACACAGCTTTCTGCGGGACGGGGCGTCCTTGGGCATGTTCAGGGAGCTGATGGTGGTGATCCGTATTTGGGGACTGTTGAAGCCAAGCTGCCTCCCTGTCTACACCGCAACCTCTGACACCCAGGACAGCATGTCCCTCCTCTTCAGGCTGCTAACTAAACTCTGGCTGTGCTGTAAGTGTTTGCCAGTTTCCCTGAACAAAAGAATCCTTCCTTAATGTGGATCATGCGTGAAAGGAATAATTGCAGGGAGTAACTTCTGAGTGGGTCTGTAGTGTTTAGAAAGGGCAAGCGCAGCTGCCAGGTTTATTGTTTTCTGTGCTGTGTTGGCGGATGGAGGAGGAAACTGCACGCGGTTCTCAATCTCTAAATGAGAAATCCAAAGATCATGCTGGTTCTCTTTGCTTCATTTTCCACGCAGGTCGTGAGGAAAATCACATAACGGAGCCAGATGACACCCTGATAGATGAGTGTTGCCTCCTGCCCAGCCAGTTGCTCATTCCCAATATCGACTGGTTGCCCATCAACGATGGCATTATCAGCAAGCTGCAGAACAAACAGCTCGTCCGGCTGCAGTTTGGGAAAGCTCCAGGGCTCGTTGGTCACACTGTCTCTTCCCAGTTTGATGCCTTTGTCAGGTAGAGACACCTGAAGCGTGCAGGTGGTGTGGTGAGAAGAGGGAGGCAGGGGGCTGTGGGATCTCTTCCCAGCTCTGAGGGGTCACTGGGTTTGGGATGTCTGTGGGTTTTGGCTCGTCCACTTGCTGGTGCGACCCAAGAGCAGTTTGTCCTTTCTGCTGAAATTCGTTTCTTCACTTGCAATGGGCTGGGAATTTAAAGTATTGAAAAGAGGTGGCAAATGGAGGAGGGGAAATCCTAGTTTGTGATTAGATCCGTGTCAGCCTGGCCTTGAATCCCACAGCACTCGATGGACAAGGTGGTCAAAGCCCACGTCATGTTGGCCACGGAAATGCAGCTCATGTCCTGGAGACAGCCTTTAGAAAGTGATGTTCTAGAAAAGTTCCTGTTTTTCCTACCTAGGGCACCCGGACAGCCCAAAATTGATCATCTGAGGCGGCTTCATTTAGGAGCGTACCCCACAGAGGAGTGCAAGTCGTGCACCAGGTGAGCCACGCAAGCGTAATCCCTCAGTGCAGAGGAGGACTTGGCAGAAACTCAGACTGGTTTTTTTTTGTCATTCTAAAGCTCTTTCGGTCTCTGTGTGCCGTCCTAGCTGGTGTCCCGGTAACGTTTTGTGTTAATTGTCTGCAGGAGGAAATGCTGCTTCTATAATAAGGGGTTTGGTGCATGGCGCTACCCCTTGCATTGGAAGAAAGCGGTTGTGGTTGTGTTTAAGGCATCCCTAATCTGGAAGACTGAGATCCTTAAAATGCTTGTTGAGCAGCGTTGCTGACTCCAGATAGCTGCTGCCGTATCATTGCAGCGTGGCTGGTAGATTAAAAACCTTAGTACTTTGCCTGGCAGAGTAACCCCGGTTCTGTGAGAATTAGCTCTGTTTGTCATTGCCAGTGACTGAACTACATTGAATTGTGCGTCATGGAATAAATATGGTGTTTAACAGAAAAATCTGAGCGCAGTCAGGCTGCGCAGGTAAACAGAGACCAGAATTTGGCCTGTAGGAAGGAGTCTTTATCGGTGATGAGAGATCCCCAGCTGGTTTTGCAGGTCTGGTCTTTAAATAAAACTACCTGTGTTCTCGGAGAGGAGCTGGTGAGAGGAAATAATCACAGCATCCATGGTGCCATTTTTGGGTCATCTATCAAACTAGGCTTGCGTTTTAAGTCCCTTTGTGCTGTCCTCTTCATCCACCCTCACAAAAGAACCTGGATTTCAAAATAATGGTGCAAGGAGCAAACATCTGTCTAATCATGTGATTGAATTAGCTTTAATTATTGGTTTTAATAGAAAGTCTCTGTAGCAGATCATTTTTACAAGATGACTGTCTGCTGTTTTATGTATAAATAGCAGCTGGGGGCTGTTGTCTTGAAGACAGCCTTCTGTTCCAAGATAACCTCTCTTCATGTAAGATAATTGCTCGCATGGTTTCAGCTGGTTTTTAGCGCTCACAAACATCACCTGCAAATGACAAAAGCTGCTTTCCTCCTCAGATTTCTCCCTCCCTGTGTGATCTGTACAGATGCCCTAGCAGTGCTGGCTTTTTTTCCCCAAGTTTCTGTGTCTCCTGGACCTGGCTGCACCTCTCTGTTTCTTTCCAGGTGTGGCTGCGTTACGATGCTGAAATCGCCAAACAAAGTCACTGCGGTGAAACAGTGGGAGCAGCGCTGGATCAAAAACTGCTTGTGTGGGGGGCTGTGGAGGAGGATGCCCCTCAGCTATTCCTGAGCACATTTTCTGCGCAGGCAGAGTGGGCGCCAAGCGGAAGAGCTGCTCGGAGCTTCCTTGGAGGTAGTTGGGACAAAGGAACGGCAGCTCTGAGCTCTCCGAAAGCATTGTTCCCGTGCCGCTGGCAGGGCAGCGGCAGGGCAGTGCCAAGCCAGCTGACCAGCAGTGCCGCTGCTTTTCTCACATTGATCTTTCTGGGCAAAAAGGAGGGGGGAGGGAGCTTTTCCTCTTTTACAGGGAAGAACCAGGTGGGAATGCCAGCGGATGGCCAGGTGGGAATGCGAGAGCCTGCCCCGGCTGGGGCCGAGGGCCTGGGAGGAGAGAGCTGGGCTGCGGCTGTGCCTCTGGGCTGAGGCGGAGGGGCTGGGCGCTGGCTGAGCCCTTGCCTGGGCGGAGCGGTGATGGGTGGTGGCTGGGGCCAGACAGTCCCCGACCAAAGGGGAGCAGATTCATGGTACCTTCTGTTCATCCCTTGCCACAGGCCGCTCGGGAAGTGTGGCATGAGCTGGTTACTACCTGTTTCCCTGCACCTCCCCGTCCTTTGAGGAAACTTGCCCCTCTGGTGGGGACTTCATTGTCGGACCCATCTGTATTGTAACGGGGCAATGTCTTCCCCCTCTGGAGGAGCAGGAACTGCCCGGAGCAAACCCCTCTGGCTCTCACCAAACCAGCAGCTCTTTTGTAAATAAAAGTTCCCTTAATTTTGTACAAAACATTTGGTTTGTTTTCAAAACTTGAGCAGTCTTTTGTGTAACTTTGGTCACACAGCACCTGTCCAGGACAGAAGTGGGAAAGCCCTGTTAATTTTGTCTCTATTAGGAAATGAGCTGCAATCACTTGCAAAATGGGAAGGGGCAAGCTTCTGTTGGGTTACTGTGGACACAAGAGAAGACAGCAAGTCGTTAGGATTGTTGTACAAAGCCGGACACTTCAGTGTGTCCGAGGAACAGCTCTGCACTGCTCCCAAGGTCGGGTACCTGTGGGAGCTGGGGTGCTTGGTAGCATCTGCTCACTCAGAACTGGGCCGCAGCAGGCAGCTGCCTGCTTGTGGGGAGCCCTGAGCTGCTGCCGCCATCAGACCAAGCTGAGGGTGCTCGGCACCTTCACGGAGTTGGACCTGAACATCTGTGCGCTTTGACAAAGCGCAGCGGCGATGCTTGGAGCTGATCGGTGGTTTGGCCAAATTCCTGCCTGTCCCCCCCAGAGACCGGTTAAGGGGGAGAACAAGCCCGTTTTTATATGTTCCTTTTTCCCTCTGGAGCTGCATTTTCATTTATTAGTGAAACATTGAGCTGATGGCAAAGAGCTTGCCTGTCAGCTCTGCTTCATGTTTTGCTGTATGGAGCTGGTAGCTGCCTTGCTATTCTGCTGGTAATTAAGGAAAAGCAAATGGCTAATTAGGAAACTACAACTTCTTGTGAAGGTTTTTTTCCCCTGTAAGTAAAGCTGTAATCAACCCAGGCCCTCATTAGTCTCCTTGTTCTCAGAGAACAGGTTTGGGGTTATTGACTGTTCGTTGCTGCTGTTTGCAGGGCAGTGGGACAGAGTGGCCGCTCTGTGGGAGGACGAATGCTTGCTTGGCCCCGTGCCTGGGAGCAGCTCCCCAAGGTGCTGGCTGGGCTGCAGGGTGGCTGCATGCACATCAAGGGACGGAAGGTGGGGGATCCCCTCCTCCATCCCCAAAAGGAGGGCTTCTGCCTCTACCTCACCCTCCTCCTGCCCTGTGCACACTGCTTCCCTGGCCCACTGCCCCGCTCCCAGGGGGGTGCTGGAAGGGGCTCACAGGTCCCTGCCCCGACACTGCTGCCCCGCTCTGGTCCCATGGGAGGGCAGGGGGCTCCTTTGCGCTGAGGTCCCGCACTGGTCCTATCAGGGTGGGGGATGCAGGATGCGGACCAGGGTGCTGCTGGGGCTAGTCGGGCAATGCCAGGGCCAGCAGCTCTGTCCCCTGCTCCCCCCAAGGCACAGGCACCCACCTGGGTGTGATGGGCTGCGGGTGCTTGGCCATGGGGTATGGAGATGGGGGCCAGGAGGGGTGCTGAGGGGTGGCAGGGTCCACCTGCCCCTTGAGAGCCCGCTGGGGTCAAGCGCTCACTGCAGTGAGTTTGAGGGGTCTCAGCATGCGGTCGAGGCAAAGGAGGGGATGGGGCTCACTCCAAAGGTGTGGGTGGCAGGGAGTGTGGGGGTGGGGGGGCCCTGGCCACACTGTCCCT